TGAATCAAAGTTACTTATTATTAAAAATTTTATTTTAACTATTCTTGTATGGGCATATTATCATAAAATTGCTTGTATTATATGCATGCATGCATGCATGCATTCATGCGCATAGTGCCCATCTCTATCTTTCACATTCTTGAATTGACTTGTTAAAGGAAGTTACTGCGTCCAACCGTAACAATGTGTCTGAATCGTATAATTTACACATAAATTGTTTATGTTCATCTAAAGATGAACGTGAAGCATTTAAATATGGGCACCAAGACGTCTGTTCATACACACCCTGTTTAAATTTATTAAAAAGATGGATGTGTGATATTTTAACATTGTAATGATTATTCAAAAAGGGTTTATTGGTGAAGGGGAAAGTTGAAATTATAAATTAGAATAAATGGATAGAAGGAAGATATTCCATCAATAGAGTAGTTTAAAGAATTTATGTATACCAAAGATGTATTTAAAGACTGAGTTTTCAGTCTTCAATAAAATCTTCAGACTTCGTTCTCAAATGTTTTTCTTTTGTCTTATATAAAATTTGAGGCTGATTGAAGCCTAGCATAAATTATACACTGTATTGTAAACCCTATGCTTCTTGTTAGCATTAAGTTATCTTAATGCGCGTTTGTTATTTTTATTTTCTTTTGACTTTTTATATATCTTTGTGAATACATCTTTACAAGTAACCTTGTAATAATACATGAACACATCTTCACGTTTATACACATAATACATTGTACTAACCCCAATACCCCATCACGCCTTAAATCAATCCTGTCCCATTTTGGATTGTCAACAATTGACAATCAGGATTGATTAGATCACTTGTGTAATCTATATCCCAATACGTATCTCTTAACATTAACCTCACAGCTCTCCTTTCTTATTTGGATAGACCCGGCCAGTTTCATATTGGCAACAATACTCGCTAACCCGATACCCCTTCCTTGGTTTTTCCACACTATAACTAGACACCTTTTTGCTCTTTTAATTTATCCTCGGTTCACTATCCTAAGACAAACCAGCACCGTATCACCTAACGCTCTTCCAAACCGATAGTAATACCAGATAACTATATTCGGATTTAACACAGATATTATTTAAACAGATATATCTAAATCCGATAATGTTAGATTCAAATTATCTGTTATCCATTTTACAGATATCCTTATATCCGATCATAACAATAATTTTGATATTTAAAAATTTTAATAACAACAATAATATTTAAAATTTAATAATAACAATAAACAATGATTTTTTTTTTTTTTTTGCAATGCTCAATGACAATTTTAGTGCTATAATTTTAACAATGGTAATAATATTTAAAATTTTAATAATTACAATGATTTTTTTTTTTTTTTTTGCAATGCTCAATGGCAATTTTAGCACTATAATTTTAATAATGTTAATAATATTTAAAATTTTAATAATAACAATGATATTTTTTTTTTGCAATACTCAATGACAATTTTATCACTATAATAAACAAGTGCATATAAGTTTAAAAGCTAATGCTAAATAACATATTATTCAGGATAAATATTTTGATATTGATCAATATTCCTTTTTAAAAACATCATCCTTTTAAAAAGTTCCAGAGAAATTCTTGTTCTCTTTGATGTCATTAAGTTTCCAACATCACTGAATAAACGTTCACTTGGGGTGGACATTGCTGGAACGGCTAGATGAATTCTTGCAAGTTTAGATAGTATTAGAAATTTTTTCAAATGTAAGTCCCACTATGCTAATAGATCTTTTTTGAGACTTATTTCAGGTTGTCTCATGTATTTATCAATTTCATTATCTATTGGGCAATCCTCTTTTTCTAATGATTTTAACAAGTATAATATATATAGTGGATTTGCAATAACTATAAATTCATCGGATACTTGTTTTTCCAAGTTTTGATTGTTATCATCAAGCTCTTTTTCATTTTGATCTATCTCCACAGTTTTTTCGTTATCATATAATTGTCTAAAAAAATTTTTAACAGCAATTCTATTCATATTGTCCATATAATCAAGTGATTTAAGATGTGGGTCTAGTAATGCAAATACTGATTCTTGCAGTGTAAGATTAGAATAGTAATAACATAATTTTTTATACAAATTATGTTTTACTTTTTTTAAGAGGCCTGTAGTATTTATTGGTTTGTTTAACTTAATTCGAGATTGTTCATTTTTGATTCCTCTTTCTCATAATCATCAAATGCATTGTAATCTTCAATATTATATGATTCATCTTCATTTACTTGATTTGATTTAAAAATATTTTCAATTCTCTTACAACCTAATGCATAAGACTATGTGTTGCATAATAGGAACTATCCAAGTATCTGGTTGCCTATAATAATTAATATTAGATTAATAAAATTAATTTAATGGCTATGCATTAAACTTTTTATTTACTTCTTCGAATGGTCCAAGAACTTGTAAAAGTTCTTTAATTAATTCCTATTCTGAATTTGTTAGGTTGATTTCTTGTAATTGTTTTCTATCTTTACGATCATTAGAATTATCATGTGATGTAAGATAAATGATCAAAAGCTCAATATAAATCTTAATTTGAACTAATTGAATCCAAGCTAAATAAGAACTATTCCACTGAGTTCTACAATCTGAAATGCAATTAACTAAATATTCAGCAGTTTCTCCTGCATTCTTTAATTATATTAAAAAAATTAAAATGATATAAATAATTAATTATTAAATAATAGTACTGAATTTACCACACTATCATATTTGGGTTTTTTTCTGAATTTCTTCTAATCGTTTAGACTGTTTAGGACATAAGAAAAATCAATCAAATGTTTAGTATGGGCAATTAAAGATTCTACTGGTAATAATGCCTTTCCTATTACTAATTGTAAAGTATGAGAACTGCAACATTGCCACATGACTTTATCCATTTTCATTACAGCTTTTTTTATATTTGAACCACTATCAGTAGTTATAGAATATACTTTTTCACAAAGATCCCAATATTTAATAATTTCTTCTACTGTCTCACGGATATAATCAGCTGTATGAGGATAATGAACATATTGGATTGTAAAAGTTATTTTTTTTAATTTAAATTGACAATCAATGTATGAGCATGTAATTCCAATATAGCCTTGATGATTTTTGGCTGTCCATAAATCCATTGTGAGACTTTAAGTACATTATGTTTAATAAATTCTCGTAAAATAGGAATTGAATAATTATAAGCTTGATGAATAATTTGCTTAATTAATTTAACATCAGGAATTAGAAATGCCGGATCAAGCTCATTTGTAAATCAACGAAAAAATTCACTTTGAACAATAATTAAAGGATGTGAATCTGCTATGAGCCAAGTAACAAGTAATTGCTGTAATTCCTTTTGTCGCTTTTCATAATGAGGATGAATAGATCTTATCTAAATTTTATCAAATTAATTGTATTAACATTAATGTCAAAATTAATATATATAATATATCGAATATAATATTAATCTACCATTTTAGGAATTTGATCGATTTTTGTTATACCATGTTCAGCACTTAAATGGTTAATAAGATTACCAGTTGAGGAACCGGCTTTGTATTTTCTTCCTCATTTGATACTTCAATTTACATATTGAATATTTCGTCCATTTGCCTTTCTTTTTACGAAGTTCTTGTCGAAAAAATGTCCACACCCAACTGATCTTTCCTGATAAATCCAAATGAACAATTTCTTCTTCGTCAGAAGATTCGTTAAAATCAGAAATATTAGAGTCGGGAATATTAGAATCAGAAATATCAGAGTCGGGAATGTTAGAATCAGATATATTTCGTCTTTTATTAGAAGCAGACATTTTTTACTGAAAGTATTAGAAATAACGATAAAATAAATAAATAAACATATAATGAACATTATTTATAGTCGCTGATTCATAATATGATTATTATTTATTATTATAGTCACTGATTAATTTAAGGATATCCGGATATCTGACGGATGATCAAAGTCTATCCGAGTATAATTAATTTACGGATAGTTTATTTATAAATCCGCATAGGATCGGAGGATTATACGGATAGCTAGGATTTTAAGGCTACGGATCGCTACTCTAATAAATACACTCTTAACCTTAACCTGCTAATTTTAAAGATTATTTCTTTTTCTTACACTGAGCATCATACTTTATATCGTATTTATTAATTTTTTTTTTTTTTGAATTATTGTATCAGGCAAATAAAGTGGAGATGATGTAGTGTTCAACAGACCTACATGGTTTTATTTCTTGATTTAAAAAAGAGGCTTCACGATATTTATTGTAATTAATTAATTGCTAAGTAATGATACAGTTATTCAAAGATTTTTTTTTTTTTTGAAACAAGTGATTTATAACGTCGGCAGGGATGAATTTCTTTGGTTTAAAAGTTTATCAGCATTAAGTTGTATATTAAAATATCCATTGTATAAATGTTTCATTAATGCGTATGACTACTATTAGATATCTCAAAAATTATAAGTTGCCTGCTTACCTTTCGTGACCTCAAAGCCCAATAATTATAAATATTTAAAAATATCAAATTAGGTGTCATAGTCTTAAATAATCATCCGATTAGTAAACTTTGATAGTATCACTCCATAAAAAGTCTTATAATATTAGGATTTTTTTTAGTTAGTATAATTGCTGTTTAACTTGTGTAACCAGTATAACCGTAGTTATGCAGTAGACCAGTACCGTGATTTGTTTCACTTTTTTACGGCGTACAGTACGCCAAACTAGTTTATCAAGAACTTTATATTATTACATAAAATGTCCAGATATAGAAATTTGTAATTTCATATTCTTTTTTTTTTTTTTTTTGTCGAATTTCTCTTGGTTTAAAAATGTCTAATAATCAAATTGCAAAAAATATTGAAAAAAACAAAAGTTCATCTGAAATTGTTCAAATAACTGATAATTTTAATCGATTATATTCAAAAGATAATAATAAGTCATTGAATTTATTTAGTGAAATCGTTAAAGAATTATATAATTTATACAATGAAGAAAGATCGAAAGCCAAAAATTCAGAGCAAATAATTAACGTATTGGACCAATTTTTAACAAATAAGAAGCAAAATCCAGACAATGTAATCAATTGGTGCTTAGAAAATCAAATCATTCCTATGTCTCAAATCATTCTTGCAAGTTGTTATCGTTTTGGTAAATGGATTCAAAAGGATGAATATAAGGCATTTATTTATTATCAAAAATCTGCAGATATAGAACTTGCTGAAGGAATATTTTGTGTTGGAGTTTGTTATGAAAACGGAATTGGTGTTAATAAAAATGAAAATATGGCATTCATTTATTATCAAAAAGCTGCCAATATGGGTCATATTTTGGGAACAAACAACTTGGGTTATTGTTATGATTTGGGAATTGGAGTTGAAAAAGATGGGCATAAGGCATTCGATTATTATCAAAAAGCTGCTGATATGGGTAATTCTCTTGGAGTAAATAACGTTGGTTATTGTTATGATAATGGAATTGGAGTTAAAAAGGATAAGCATCGGGCATTTATTAATTATCAAAAATCTGCTGATATGAATAATGTGAAAGGAATGAATAATGTTGGTTATTGTTATTTTTATGGAATTGGTGTTGAAAAGGATGAAAACAAAGCCTTCACTTATTTCCAAAAATCTGCCGATATGTGTAATGTTATAGGAATATCTAATATTGGTTATTGTTATCTTTATGGGATTGGGGTTGAAAAAGACGAATATAAAGCTTTTATTTATTATAAAAAATCTGTTGAAATAGCTCAACATAAAATGTAATATGAAAAAATTGAATTTGTTTGATCAGTGATCTGAATTAATTGATGGTTCAACTTTCTCATCGAAAATGCAGAACAATTTTGCCAAAATACTATGAGATTAAATATTAATATAAAAAATAGCGAGTGTATTAATAGAAGCGATGTTTAATATCAGCTAAAATTTCCTGATGTAACTTATGTGGTAACGAAAAAAAATTAACTATACACACATTAATAATGGTTTATACGTGTATACACATAGATTTAGCATTTAAAACTTAGGTGTAAGTTCAATTACATCGTAATTAAGGCTAAAATAGGACCCGAAACAAACCTGTCCTGTACGGGTCAACCAATCCCATATAATAGCTCTAGCAGTAAAATGTTTATTAAACAATCGACTGCAAAAAATTCGTTGAATAACTTCCGATTTTTGATGCAACCTTTTATATAATATTAATAAGCTAAATTCCTATCAATATAACCATTAATTCAATACTGTAAAATACGTTAATAAATGATGGTTTATAGGTTGATTTGGGTTTACTGAATTTATTGAGCTTGCCAAATGTGCTTTTGCATGTTTAGTATATAAACGTTATTACTGATAAGTACAATTTGAACTAAATGTAAAAAGCAATAATAAATATTGAAAGCGTTAGCTAGCGCCATACTTCCTTTAACGGAATATTTATTTAGGAGAGTGATACAAACCCAAAAAAGGAAACAGCAAATGAATAAGAGACTGTTTATTAACTAAATCAGTACAGATAAGAGTTGCATACATTGTTTTCATTACATTGTTATGCTTGTCAGTAAATTAATCCAAATAAAAGAAACTTAATGAGAAATTTATATGTAAAACGCCCACCTGCACGTTATTTCGGGTACGCCCATGTGCGTTATTTAGAAATAAAGGTTGATTTTCTGAACTTATGAGTGTCGCAAAGGGAAAACTTTGAATTATTGGTTTTCCGAAATTTCATTTTCAGAAACAGCTTATAACTTTAAAAGTGAAATTTCCGAAAATCAAGAATTCCCATCCAGGTTTCTCCCATATCATTTATCTAATTTGGGACACCCATGGACGCTGATTCGGAAGGCCAACGCCCACAAGCGTTATTGCATGCGTATACGGTACATACAGTAAAAGTATTACAAATTATCAGTTTCTAAAGTTAAGGATAATTTATAATCTTATAACCTTTCAGATAGTGTCACGGGCAGTATAAATAGTGACTACCCAAAACGTGACCTAAACGACGATCGGGACCTTGATCGATGAACGATCGACGATAGTGATACAAAAACGATGCCCCCGGATTTTGGCATTCACGATCAACCCAAAATTGGGTAAAACACGCATATTGGGGCCTTATACAATCGTACGATTCATAGACAGGAGTACCACCAAACTGGGAAAAAATAACGATGTTTCAAAGTGGTGGACCTGGGCGGGTTTGAGTTAAAGAGAGAAAAGCCGGGTTAATAAATAAAAATAGAAAACTAGAGAAATAACCCAAATCAAGTAAACTTCCAAATAGTATGATTGAATTGACGAATGTGGTGGGAAAAGATCTAGGGGAAATAAAATTAGCCATAGAAAAAGAAATGTGTAAAAGAAAAGAGAAAATTAAATAAAGTGTTCATCTTTCATGTGCCTGAAATAATAGTAAGGGCAAAGATCAAGTGTTAGAAATTCATTCAATAAAGAAAAACCAATAAACGATAAATAAAATACATAATATTTTGATACTTGCCAAATCGTATCCACGCCTCTATTCAAGCCCTAAGAATCGCCATAACGCGAGAATTCTGGTTCTTTAGCGACCGACTCACCGTTTTCACACCCAACAATAGTAATATGTAAGGCATATAGTATAGTATGAAAAATAAATGTAGTAGCATAGCCATAGGTAGACTTTCGTATGATTGGCTGATGTAAATCAATTGCCCGGGTAACTTATTTTATACCGTTTAAAGTACTTTGAGAACGTAACGTTTCACTAACAAAAAATCATCGTAAAAGCCATTGGCTATAAAATAGGGTTATGGTATAAGAATTTACGCGAATTTCCCTTTTGATGGGTACAAACATAGATAAATATATGTGATATTGCTTAATTTATAATGTACAGTATCTTGAGTAATAGAAACTTGAGCAAAATGTAGTAATAATCAAAATTGAATAAATAATTAATAAAAGATAATTAATAAAGATAGTATATAAGCTTCGCTAGTATAAAGTTTCGTCTACTTTATAAATCGTTGATCTGATTGGTTAATTATTACGGGTAATCACGGGTAGGGTAATAGTACCATTATACCCATAAGCAGTGTTGGGTTCGGACGTTGTCCCATTAAAATTGCAGGGGCACGGACAGTCCCGGACAATGCCCATGTCCCGGACAATGTCCCATACCCATGATGGTGTCTAATGTCACATTGTACACAAGGGCTTATCAAACGATCTGATTGGCTAACAAAGCAGCCCTTATTGTAATTTTATTGTCCGGGATGTTAACATTCTGGCGGACATGTCCGGGACGTCCCATCCCGGACTGTCCGTTGTCCGTGTCCCTGTCCCAACCCAACACTGCCTCCATGCCACACACCCTAGCCTTCTGGTAAAGTAATAGATATTTTGCAGATATGTTAAAATGATTTATAGTTTTATGTAAGCTAGGAAATAAACCATCTATTTTTGGAAATTCTTCTTCTTTTTCTCTACCCAGCTATCTGTTGCCAATTGCTAATAATAATTTTACTATTTTAAATACATTTTCGTATATACTTGTCCAAACTCAGGCTTACTTTGTCAAATTGCAATTCTTCAACATCGGATATACATATTAACCATATTTACAACAACCGAATCGAAAGTATCTTATTTGACAAATATAGGCATCATCTTAAAATCAATTATACAATATACTATAGTCGAGGCATTAAATATACACCTTTTATTAACGTTAAACGTCCGTACGCACTAATTTGTACTACTGTACGACTATTTTACCAAACTTTTAGGTGTGACATTACGTATAATAGCACCAAATGCATGTGTAACAAACATTGTGTAAGTGGCGCATTTCAAAATAAGTAGGATTTCTTTCAATTATTATACAATCGCTATGTTAAATTGTAAATCGGAAAATAAACCGATTCTCTGATTTTAATTTTTAAATCCACATTGTATTCAAATCGAACATACTAACACTCCTTAAAATAACAATATGTCAAATGAAACAAATCTGCTAAATATTTATAATAATCCATCTACCGAAAAAGCTATTTATGATGATAAAGATCAAGATGTTAGTTCAAAACTGGCAGATTTATCATTACATGACTCACAGGACTTTCTAAATAGAGTTATTGAAGAATTATGCGATTTGTATAATAAAGAAGTAGTGAAAGGAAATTATGATGACTCAATTATTTACTCGATAGAACAGCATATGACAAATAAGCAGCAAAATCCAGAAGAAATAATCAACTTATGTTTGAATAATCAAACAAACCCTGTTGTTCAAACAAATTCTATTATTCAATATATTTTTGCATCTTGCTATTATTTTGGAAAATGGGTTAAAAATGATTATAGTCAAGCATTTATTCTTTATCAAAAATCAGCCGAGATGGGAAATTCTAATGGAATGTGTGCTCTCGGTGATTTTTATCAATATGGATTTGGAGTTGAAAAAGACGGTCATGAAGCATTTATTTATTATCAAAAATCTGCAGACATGGGAGATGCTTATGGAATCAATAACCTCGGCAATTGT